TTCATTTTCAGAGCTAAAGCTCTACAAAGCGAGAGCGGAAGTGTTCGCACTTTTACGCAGCTCAAACCGTTACCATATAAATAAATATTCCTCAAAACAATAATTTCTACAATAAAATTACGATTTCTCTACCGACAGCAAGCCTTCATTTTCAGAGCTAAAGCTCTGCACAGCGAGAGCGGAAGTGTCACACTTTTATGTAGCTCAAACTGTTACCATATAAATAAATACTGTTCAGAACATTAATATCTACAACCAAATTATGATTTCTCTACGCAGGCGGCCATAGTTAATTGTTCAAGCTGATCGCTGTTAATAAAAATGAAAAAAAAAGGTTCAAGCTGATCACAAAAAGTATAACAAACTTACAGAGAAGATGAGAAGAGATGAAAAGAATTGAGCCCTTAATTCCTCCTGGAGCTGAAGCTTTATGAATTCGTGACCACAGCAGCTATCAAAGACAGATAAAAACCCTCTACTCCTATCATTTATAATCTTTACCTCTATGACCTTTCTGAAGACTTTTTAAACAGAAGTACAAATAATAAGATAATTTCAAACACGTGGGCAGTGGTGAGCCACATAAAGGCAATGGGGGAGCCGCTTGAAAATCTGTTTAACGGCTCCTTACAATTCTATTGAATCATCTTCAAATTTCATTGATTATGACCTCTCAGCGTGGGTGGGTGAGTCTTCAAAGTGAGGGTCTACACTCTCCAACCGACACGTACTTATTTATTAAAAAGCAGTGCTAGGAGCACTCGTCTCCTGCACTCTCCAGTCAACATATGCTTCTTTATTGGGCCACGTAAGCTTGTTTCTGCTATGAAATGATTACATCTCCTGAAACCAACATAACGTGACCCGATGAAAATGGAAGTGTAGGTTGGAGAGTGCAAATGGCAGGTGTCCCTAGCATTGCTCTTTTTTAAACCAGGCAACAGCCTTTTATAAATTAATAGTTAACATAATTAATATTTTGATAATAATTAAAATTTAAGTTATAATTTAATTAAAATTTTATATCTCGTACCTCTTAAATTGCAACGGTTTAAGCACTCGGCCTTGGAGACCTACTGACATTAATCATTAAAAAAATACATTCTACCCTTTCCTAAATGAATTTCGGATCCGTCCCAGCTCAAAATGTTTAAAAAAAAAATTTTGCAACGGTTTAAAAAATAAAACTTATTAGACGTCATCTTACTTTAAAGGAAAAGAAAAGACAATTGGTTCGAAGTTGGACCCGAGTTACAACCGTGTCTGGCTATTATTCTTTACTAGACAGTACCCGTGCCGTCGCACGAGAACATTAAATGTCGTCTTTTTAAAATTAGATAATACCCGTGCCGTTGCACGAAAATATTAAATGTTGTCTTTTTAAAATTAGATAGCACCCGTGCCGTCACACGGGAACATTAAATGAAATAATTTATATTTTTAGTATAAATTTTAATTTTTATATAAAATATTATTTACTTTTAAAATGTGAATATAAATTAAAAATAAATATTAAATACATTTGTGTAATTTTTTAAACATATATCAATGTTTTCTAGTAAAAATTATAAAAGGACTTTTTATCTGTGTTTGTGCTTATTATTTTCACACATTAATTTAGAGTATCATTTACAATTTTTATATAAATAAAAGCATTTCTATAATATCAAAAATAAAGAAAAGAAATAAGAGGTGTAATGCCCCAAATTTTACGTAAATAGGGACTCGTAAGTAACTCTAGTATATAATTATAAAAACTAATCACTATTAATAACTTGAATTTGAATTTTTAAGAGCATGTGAATTTTGTCCTAAAAAGTTGTTAGATCACTGATAGATTTCGACTTAAGTCATTCATGAGTGGAGAAAAAGATTTTTTAATCAATCAAATTATAATATTTTTTAAATATTACAATCTAATTGTTAAAATGATCTTCCCCTTCCCTCAACCCAAATATATTATTATTTAAACATTAGAAATAAAAAGAGTAGCACTAATGTTTTGAAAAATAAAAAGTTATTATTTATTTTTTTCTTCTTTTTTTTGAGAAAAAATGACAAAATTATATTAGTACAATAAAATAGAGTTCAATAGGGTGGTTTGAGAAAATGAACCCCTAGTACATAAGTAAGATAAAACGTAACCACAAAAGATGGATTTTTATCAAAAATTAAAAAAGTTAAAGGAAATGATGTTCCCATCTTAAGAAGTTGGTTAGTACACATATAGTTATTCTTATTAAAATGTTGTAGTGTTGAGCTAGAACAATCTTCATAAGTTCTTTGCAATTCAAAATGTTAGAGACATTGGCAAACAATAATTGAATAGTATAAAAAAATCAAACTCAATATTAATTTTAGAAAACCCCTCGGTAATAATCAAGTTGGAGGTTATTCTCTGTCTTAGAACGTAACACTTACTTTATTAACAATACTTATATTCCTAGCAAACCCCATAATCTATTTGTCATTATGATCTTTGAAAATCCCTTCTCTGCTAATAGGTTTGAGAAAGACAGCCCCCTTAATATTAATGTTTAATAAAATATAGAGGAGTTTATATCAGCAAAATATACCAAGTTATCTATTAAATAAATTAAACTGAAGGAAAAATTAACTAAAATTTAATATTTTTATAAATAATAAGAGAAAATCATTTAGAATTTTGAAATAAGAATCCTTGTAAAGCTTGTTGTTATTTTGTTACTAAATTTCCCAAATAATAAACAAAAACAAAGCAATTCAAAAAATTTTGAAATAAGAGAATCGTCCATGCATTTACCTCGTATTTAATTTAAAGAAAACAAACTCTCCTCCACTCATTTGGTTAAACTAAAATGTAAAAGAATGATGATGATGATGATGATGATGATGATGATGATGATGATGATGATGATGATGATGATGACGATGATGACGACGGAACGTAAAACCCCTCACTTCCCCTCATTTCCCCTCTAATATTTTACTATCCAAACCAAAAAGTTTTTCTTTCTCTCCTCTCCCTCATACCCAAAAAGCCAACACTATTAACTCTTAATCAACAAATAAAAGAAATAATAACATTTTTAGTATTTATGATAAGGATGATTTTATTCTAAATTCTCAATGAGTATGAGTATTTTAATTGTTAATATAGAGATATTAACATCGATAATAAGGCCCCATGTGATCAAAAAGCACTTT